CCAAGGCGTCAAAGAAGGCCCTGAGCGGAGGCCTGGCAGGTATGGGCGCGCAGGCCATCAACGTCCTGACCCTCATGTGGATGCGCACCATCATGAACTACCAGTACCGCTATGGCGGCTCCCTCAAGGAGGTCGTCAGGAAGCTCTACGCTGACGGTGGCATCCCTCGCTTCTACCGAGGGCTCGCTCCCGGCCTGATCCAGGCGCCCGTCTCGAGATTCGGTGACACGGCCGCGAACGACGGCGCACTCGCTGCGCTTGAGCACACCGAGCTCCCCACGGCGGCGAAGACCATGGTCGCGAGCGGCGCCGCGGCCGGGTTCCGCATCTTCCTGATGCCCGTCGACGCCTGGAAGACGACCAAGCAGGTCGAGGGTGCCGACGGCCTGAAGCGCCTCATCGAGAAGACCAAGAAGCACCCGACGGCCCTCTGGCAGGGTGCCGTCGGGGCCATGACCGCGACGTGGGTCGGGCATTACCCGTGGTTCTACACCAACAACCAGCTCCGGGAGTCGCTCCCCCCGTTCGACTTCGCGTACGGCAAGTATGTGCGCAACGCGGTTATCGGCTTCAGCTCCGCGGCGGTGTCCGACACGTGCTCCAACTCGCTCCGGGTCCTGAAGACGACTCGCCAGACGTCGCTGGAGCCCGTGAGCTACATGGAGTCGGCCAAGAGGATCATCGACAAGGAGGGCTATGCGGGGCTCTTTGGTCGCGGGCTGGGGACGCGCATCCTCACGAACGGGCTGCAGGGGGCCCTGTTCACCATTGGCTGGAGGGCTATCTCCGAGTATCTGAACAAATGAGAGGGGGATGTAGCCTTCAAGCGCGGTTGAGGCTCTGGTCGTCCGTCCAGTGTCCCCTGGAATAGGAGAGGCGTGCGGATGTTGCTCAATGCGGGCGAGGGTACACCGTAGTTGTCTTCAAGGTGCCGGCAAAGGCTCCGCGAGACAAAGCTCGTTTTGGCACGGGTGTTGCCGACATTTTTCCACAAGTTTTCATTTCTTCGGGAGTCCGGGCAATTAGTGCTGCGGCTCTGATGGGATATTTCCGTCACTACAATTACACTTGCCAGTCGGCGCGATATGAGAAAATCGCAGCCCGTTCCAGCCAGAACTCTCACACGTAGCCTCCCTCTCTCCGCCGTTGGCTTCGGGCGGCCACCGCAGTAGACTGCTATCCACCTTCAGTTCGCAGGCGAGGGGGGGGAAGGGAAGGTTCCAAGAAACGCGATGTCTTGATTTGTTTCAATAGGAGGCCCCAGGAAGTCCCGACGCTGTTCCCAAGGACCTGCTTTTCATCCTTGACAGTTTTTGTTAACGGTTCTGAGGCTGGGCGAGTGCGCCCCATTCCGAAAGCGGCCCAAAGCCTCCTGTCACATTTTCTTTTCACGACGCGAGCATGTCGGGAATGGGTGGAGGGAGGGGATCCTTTCAGCAGAGATTGGCAGTACTTGATGGACCCGGGAGGTGCTTAGGTAGACGATTTCACGCTCGCGTCCAGTCGGAGGGCAGGTTGAGTTGCAGCAGGTCAAATTCTGAGACGGCCAGATATTGTCTACTCGAGTGGGTCAGGGATGAAGTGATCACGGGGTCGAGGTCGATTCCGATTTTTTGTAATTTTCTATCTGCGGGGCCCCTCGCCAGGCCTCGGGGCCGTCAAACATCAATTCTGGATGGAACACTGGCTCTAGGAATAGGGTCGGGACTTTCAGGGATCACTTGCTGAAAAGCAGGACATCGCATGTCGGGATTGGTATCCGAGAATCTCTCAGGCGCCAAGGGTGATGCCACACATGAGTTCTCAGTAAGAAGGCCGAGTATTGTTTTCACACGTTTGGAGGGGCGGACTCCGCGAGTGTGTGCTAATGCCTGCCGAGCCGTTGCTGCATGCCATTCGAAACCGAAATGCGCGCCAGACTTGTGTAGCAGTAGACGTCGGGCTGTTCGTTCCACCCTCGTCGAGGCTCGTCATCCCTCCCTTCTCGACTCCCCTTCTCCGCCTCACCCTTTTCCCTCCTCCGTCTTCTCCCAAGTGCTCTGTCCTTGCTCACCCCTCCGCCAGGCTCCCCAGACATCCAGAGGCTCGAGTCTTCCGAGACGCGGACCCCGAAAACGGATCCGGCCCCTTCCCTGGGGCTGGCTCCTCGTTCCGAGCCTATTTTTGTTGACGCCTCCGCGGGGCCCGACGAAGCCCGCCCCCGAAGGCTCAGGATGGGGGAAGAACCCGGCCGATCATGATGTCTCGAGCCCTCCGCCTCGATCTCTTCGAGCCGCTGGGCCCCTCGCGGCGCGAGAGGGAGGCAGGCTGTTTTTCTTCAGACTCCGGCGAGATTATTTGCATGCATGGAGTGGGGGCGGGCGGTGGGGTGGCCGTGGCGAGGCCCGAGAGGAAACCTGGACTTCACGCAAGTCTGGACTCGCTTGCACGCCTTTCCGGCCCAGCGTTGTTTGAGCAGGCTGCGGAGGTGGACAAAGGGGCAGACGCAGCGAAATGCGACAGGGATTCTTGCGTGAGTCTGAAGGAAACGCCCTCAGGTCTTCCTGGCGTTCCTCGCACAGCAAAACACTACCACAGGCCTGCCGGCACCGATCTGTATATTTTGGGTCAGAGTGATGGGGCCGAACGGTCTTACTGTTCCCGGGTGCGTGGCTTAAGCGTGATTCCGCGACACGGATTATGTATGCTATTTTTTGAACAATTATTGTTGATCCCCCGTCTGGTGCCCGCCCATAGGGCTGGCACTTTGTTTTGAATCATGGAAACGCTTGAGACTCAAACTGTGCCCTTGGGTTCCAGTGCAACGACAACGGCTCCCGCGTGATACTTCCTCGCCATTGATGTGGCGTAGCGCTCTCGCTCGATACGTCTTTACAAATGACACCGGAATTTCGCTCTCACTCATGACGTCCTTGCATGTAATTTACTGCGGCGCTGCGCTCTCGACGCCCAGGAGTCGCGCTCTCGCACGAGACTCCCTTGCAATCTACTCAGGCCTCGCGCTCTGGCCTGAGGCTTCTGGCAATTTACAGAATTCGTTTCAATGCTTCGCCCGCCCGACCCGCCCGGCAGGATCCGCCCGCCAGGCCCGCCTCTGAGAGTCTGCCCGCCCTACCCGCCTGGTAGGGTCCGCCCTTTCACCTGTTTGGAAGTCCGCCCGCTCGCTTCAGTTTCCTGCCCGACCTGCCCAAGCCCGTCCCGCCCGTTACGGCGTGCCCGTTCACATGCTTGGAAGCCCGCCCGCCTGGTCTCATGCCCAGCCCGCCCGACCCGCCCATTAGCCCACTCGCCCAACTGGTTCTGCCACATGCTTTCTGTTCCTAGCCCTCCTCCTGCTCGTTTCTCTCGTACTCCATCCATCTCCCCCCCCTTGTCCCTTCCTTCCATCCGTCCTCACTTCCCCTGCTTCGGGGCTGCACGAAATACACATTGCAGGCAAAAAAGATATATCCCCAAGGGGGCACGATCGAAGACGAAGCGGGCGGGTACCGAGGGTTGGGGATATACGTGTTGAATGGCACGCGAGCGTATAAGAGCGAACAGTATGTAACCGATTGTTGCTGTTGTTGATGAATTCTCCGTTGTAAGAACAACTAATGTTGATTATCCCCTCCAGCACACCTGGTGTTTTCAATGAAATTGATTATTTCGGGGTCGCCTTCTTTGCAAACGGAAAGGCTTGCGCGTCAGACTGCGCTCTTGGCCCCCTGGTTTACAACAACAACAGCAACAACAACAACAACAACAATTACTAGCACGTGGGGACACACCGTTCTCACCAGTGCCAGGGTTTTCATAGGAGGCGGGCAATACCCCCACTTTGTGGGGGGGCCGGTTCAAGCTCTACCAAATTTCCAAACGACTCTTCGCCACCACCCACACCCAGCTTCCCGCCCTATGACGTTCGGACACTTCACTTCGTGGCATGCGGACGACCGTGGCTACTATTCAGGGCCCCGCGGCCGACGACGACGGCGTGCGCGCGCGAAGAAAAAACGAATGTGTCCCGCATGGTATTATTTGACAGGGATGATGGCCCTGGCAGGTGCGCAACCGTTGTTGCAGAAGTTCGAAAAAGTTGCTCGCAAAAGCCCGTTTGACAGAAATGATTAAAAAGTGTTGGGTTTCCTACGAATCCGCAAGAGCGCGCGGGATGAAATTTTGACATTTTTTTTGAAAAACCATTGTTTTTTTATGTTTTTATGTTAAAATCGCTACGAAAACTAAGGTTTTGGAAGGATTTCGTCTTGCGCGCGCGAATGTCCACTTTACCTTATTTTTTGCAAGGGATTCTTGAAGTTTGGTTATGTTAGAACAAGAAATGTCCACTTTAGCTTATTTTTTGCAAGGGAAAACCGATCGTAACAACACAACCGGATCCGGACTCCCCCGTTTTGCCTGAGACTTCCTCACGAAAATGATGAAAATGAGGCTGCGGCCTAGGCGCGGCGGGGGGGTCGTGCACCAGGGGCCCCAACAATAATTATTCTTTAGAAGTAATAGTGTTCAACAGCAACAACAACAACAACAACAACAACGACACCCGCCTGGTACTTCGTCACATGTTTGTCCAAATCGCGCTCTCGCAGGGGGACGTCGTCACAACTTGTGCTGGAATCGCGCTGTCGCATTGCATTTTCTCGCAATTGATCGAGACGCCGCGCCCTCGACACGCATGAATCACGCGGGTTCGCCCGCCCGACCGGCCCGTCTAGTTCTGCCACTTGTTCTCCTGCTCCTGCCCCCCCAGTGCCAACCTCTCTCGTGCGCCATCCTTCTCCCTCCCCCGTGTCCCTTCCCTCCTCCCTCGCTTCCCCATGTGTTAGAGGCTGTGCCAACCTCACGTGGCCGGCCTTTCGCCCTGAGCGGATCTTTGACGGCCCCGCGGGGCCCGAGGTAAAGAAGATGGAAAAACCAGGCCGCGCCGACATTGATGGTTCGTGCCAGGCCACCTCGATCTTGGCGAGCCGCTGGGGCTGGGCCCCCCGCGGCGCGAAGAGGTCTTCCTCGCTATCCTCGCGGAGTTCGTGGGGAACCCCACCCCCGAGGCGATGGAGTGCGCGGCTGCGCTGCTCACGGTCACGGGCGCTTTCTTCGACACGCAGGACCTCTCCTCGCGCCGGTTGGGGTGGCGGCGCCGCCTCGGGTGCTGTTCTTGGCGTCGCCTAAATAGCCTCTTTCCGGACATTCTCGCGTCGTGGAAAAAACGACGGGCGACTTTTTGTGGCTTTCCTCCTTCGGGGGCCCTCGCGGGACCCCGAGACCGTCCGTAAACTAATTAACTATTCGGGATGAAAAGCAGGCCCTGGGGGAAGGGTCTAGAGTTTTGGAGACCCCGTTTTGAAAAAATTAGCCTGGCGAAAGACCCTGCCCCAATTGATGCACGAGGCGACTACAGGCGCAACCGCTCAATACACGACAACACATCGATGGATCTGCAGTGCCCCGGAACGCTTCGCCAGGGACCTGCTTATGAGGCCACGACGCGTGAGGGGCCTGCCGACGTGGTCGAGGGGGCATCTGCGAACCCTGCCACTGGGGCCTTCGGTGGAGCTCCCTGTTAGGCCACGAAACATGTGAGGGGTCTGCCGATCCTGTCGGGGGGCGGCGCGCGAACCTTGCCATTGGGGCCTTTGGTACGTGTGAGGGGTGTGCCGAAATTGTCAACCGGCGGCGTGTGAACCCTGCCACTGGGGCCTTCGATGGAACCCCCTTTTGGGGCCAGGAAACGTGTGAGGGGTGTGCCGAAAGGGTCGGGCGACGTAGCGGCCACGAAACGTTTGAGGGGTGTGTCGAAATTGTGAACCGGCGGCATGTGAACCCTGCCAATGGGGCCTTCGGTGGAGCTCCCCGAGGGGCTAGGAAACGTGTGAGAGGTGTGCCGAAACGGTCGGGGGGCGGTATGCGAACCCGAGCACTGGGGCCTTTGGTGGAGCTCCCCAGGTGCCACGAAACCTGTGCCATCAGGTCCTCCGGTGGAGCTCCCTGTGGGGCAATGAAACGTGTGAGGAGTGTGCCGAAATGATCGGGATGGGCATGTGAACCCTTCCACTGGGGCCCTCGATGGAGCCCCCTTGTAGGGCCAGGAGACGTGCGAGGCTGTGCCGAAATGGTCGGGCGACGATATGCATGAGCCATGCCACTGGGGCCTTCGGTGGAGCTCCCTAAGGGCCACGAAACCAGTGAGGGGTGTGCCTAAATTGTTGGGCGGCGGCATGTGAACCCTGCCACTGGTGTCTTCGGTGGAGCTCCCTAGGGGCCAGGAAACGTGTGAGGTGTGTGCCGAAAGGGTCGGGCGACGGTGTGCGAACCCAGCAACTACGAAACGTGTGAGGGGTGCGCCGAAGCGGTCGGTGGGCGTCGGCGTGCGAACCTTGTCATTGGGGCCTTCGGTGGAGCTACCGAGAGGACCATTCAACGTGTGAGGGTTGTACCAAAATGGTCGGGGGGCGGCATGTGAACCCTGCCATTGAGGCCTTCGGTGGAGCTCCCCAGGGGGCCACGAAACGTGTGAGGGAGTACCGAGATGGTCGGGGCGGCGGCATGTGAACCTTGCCAGCCTTCGGTGGAGCGCCCTGCGGGCCACGAAGCGTGTGAGGATTTTGCCGGAATGGCCGGGGAACGGTATGCGAACCCTGCAAATGGGGCATTCGATGGAGCTCCCTGTGAGGCCACGAAACGTGTGAGATGTTCGCCGAAATGGACGCGAAACGACGTGCTGACGAGACGCGTGAGGAGTGTGGTGAAAAGGTGATGAGGAGGCCATGGTGATTTGATGATGACGATAAGGATGGTGCTGACGACATGGACGAGGAGGAGGGGGAGGAGGAGGAGGAGGAGGAGGAGGAGGAGGAGGAGGAGGAGGAGGAGGAGGGCGAGGAGGAGGAGGAGGAGGAGGAGGAGGAGGAGGAGGAGGGGGAGGAGTAGGAGACGCGCGGCGCTGCGAATTCAAAACGAAGACCCCAACACAGGAAGGGTTTTTTCAAGAGGTCGGAGGTCTGGGTTCTCGCCCCTCCCCCCCGCCCTCCAAGGTGTGGGCAGGGCCTGTGAAACCCAAAGGAGCAGGCATATATCCCCACCTACAGGTGGGTAAGTAGGCCAGTGGGGCCGAAGCCACGCAGGGGGGATAGGGATAGGATGAACGATTGTCATTGTTCGCCCCTCCCTCATCGCCCTGTAGGTCGACTGGTTGTCTTGGTGTACTGTTTGATTGGTTTGTTTGGTGGCGGCGTCTCTCGTTATCTTTCTCTCTTTCTGTTCTCTCTGTCTTTCTGTGATCTAGTACATGTATATGCACGCACGCGCACACTAGAACCTCGCGCGCGCGCTTCGAGCGCGCTGAGGTTCTAGCCATGGCAAAGCCAGCTTCATATCAATCCGCGGATGGGCACGCCCGCCATCCCACCACAATCATTCCACCACGGTCATCACATGAAAGTCGTTGTGCAATCATGGGCATGCATCTCTCAATGGCGTCTCCCCGCTTACTTCGGCACATCCTTCCCCCGGATCGTGCACCTCAGGGAGCTCCACCTACGGCCCCAGAGACAGGGTTGGCACAGCATCCCCCCGCCTATCTCGGCACGCCCCTCACAGGGATCGTGTCCCACAGGGAGCTTCACCTACAGGTCCAGAGACAAGATTCGCATAGCGGCACACACCTCTCGCGGATCGTGTCGCGCAGGCACCTGCACTTACTGCATCAGGGGGATTTTTCGTATCACGTCGTCCCACGTCTTGCGGCACACCTCTCACGCGGATCGTGCCCCGCAGGGAGTTCCACCTACGACCCCAGGGACAAGGTTCGCATCCTGCCCACCCGCCTACTTCGGCATACCTCTCACACTGATCGTACCCCACAGGGAGTTCCACAGGCGGCCCCAGAGACAGGGTTCGCATATCGCCCCCCCGCCCATTGCGGCACACCCCTCGCGCGGCTCGTGCCCCCTAGGGAGTACCACCCACAGCCCCAGAGAGAAGGTTCCTACATCGTCCCCCCGTCCATTCCTGCACATCCCTCACGCAAATCGTGCCCCAGAAGTTTCTCCACCGATGGCACCAATGGGCAAATTCGCAGGGCGTCTACCTGCCCAATCCGGCGCACGCCTTACACGGGTCGTTCCCTACAGAGTTCCATTTGCGGTCTCAGTGGGCGCGTTCGCGCGGGGGCACCCGGATTACTCGGCACCCCACTTCACGCGGATCGTGCCCCCACACTTAGCTCAGCTCGCTTGTGCACGCTTGCTTCGCAGCAGCCCCCTATCCGCACTGTCCTGCGGCGCGCAGTATGTGAAGAGAGGGACGCGCCCTGAGACACACGTGGTTGCGTAAGTTAGGACTCTTCGCTGGCCTGATTGTTTGCTCATCTGCTGGCCTTCGGCCCACCACGCCACCGTGCCTGGATTGAGGGTCAGAGGCTTCTTGGATACCTGATTGGGGTCTCCTGGCATGCTTGTTGGACGATTCCTGGGGCCAGCTTTGACGCCTCTGGGGGGCCTCTTGGGGGCCTTTTGGGATTCTTGGGGGCCTGCTGGCGGTCTCGGGGGGTGCACTTCGGGCAGAGGACTCGCAATCTCAGTTGGAGTTCCCCCACTTGGGCCCCCGTCTTGTGCCGTCTTGGGCGCCTCCTGGACCATCTTGGGGCTCTCATGGAATCTTGGGCCGTCTTGAGGCCCTCTTAGGGGCCTCTTGGGCTGTCTTGGGGCGATCTTGGGCCTTCTTGGACGCTGTTAGTATCCAAACAGCGAGTATGTTCGCAGTCTGTGCTCCCGAAACATGTTGCAACTTTGGTCTCCTGGAGCCTCTTGGGGAGCATCCTGGAGCCTTCTCGGGCCGTCTTCGGAGCCTCTTGGGCTGTCTTGGAGATATTCGAGCCGCCCTTGAGCCATATTGCGCCGCTCCCTTGCCACCCCGTCTGGGTAAGGGTACGGGTATCTTTCGCGCTCGAGATATATACATTCATACATCTACGCACGCACACATACACACATACATACATTCACACGTACATACAAGCATACATACCTATGCACGTACAAACATACACATACACGCATACATACTTGCATACACACATACGTACATGCATACAACTATACACATATAAATGCATACATACGTACATGCATGCATACACACACTCATACACACATACGTTCATTCATGCAAACAGTCACGCACACATACATATACACACATCCATACATTCATACATACATCTAAGCGTACATGCATACGTACACGCATGCATCCATACATCCATACATAAATGCATGCAAGCATGCCTACACACGTGCATACACATATACACATGCATGCATGCATGCATGCATGCATGCATGCATGCAATCAGACATACACACATACTTATACACAACTACACATACACATGCATACACATGTGCATACATACACACATACCTGCACACCAACAAACATACATGCATACAAACAGACACATATATATATATATATATATGTACATACACACACCTAATTACACGCGTACACCGACTGGCATGCACACGCGCACATATAGACATCCATACCTATATACATACACACATGCATACATGCATGCACACGTGATACGTACATACATACATAGTTTCAAACATACCCGTCTACATACATCAATACATACATACCTACGTGTATACATGCATACATACATACAAGCAAGCACACAGGCACGCACATCTGTATACATATATGCACCCATACCTTCATACATCCATATACGCATACATACATAACATGTTTGTATGTAGAAGGTGTGTACACTTGCCACAACTCCGCGTCGGGCTGGGGAGCTTGTATCCGAATCCGAAGCGCCCCGCGCCCCAGAAGGGCCCAAGACGGCCCCAGAGGGCCCCTAGACTGCCAAGGAGGCTCCAACGACAGTCTGAAGACGGCTTCAAGAGACCCCGAAGAGGTCCCACTCGGGACCTTGCATGAGTACGGCGACGGTCAATCTATATATATATATATATATATATATACACATTTATATATATATAGGTATACACACATGTATATACATATATATATATATATATATATATATATGTGGAGAGACATGCCTACAACTGAATACATACATACA